AAACAAATTGAATTAATTTGAAAAAAAATGGATGGATTAAAATTTTAAATGACTAGTCTATATTGTACTAATTAATAAATAAGAATTTAATATATCAAAAAATAATAAAGATAGATTAAAATAAAAAAAGACATTTGATAATTACAATTAATTCAATTAATTGAATTCTTGTGAAGTTATTAATTTTTTAAATTAATTATTGAAAGATTCTTAGAAAAAATTAAGGGGTTTAGAAGTTAATGAAATCATCTAAGTAGACTAATTAAAGGTTAAATTAGAATGTTATGAAAAAATTGTGAAAAAAAAGATTATCTAAATAATGAATTATAAATAAATAAAGACAATTTTTTTAAGCTCTATAATCGACTAATTTTCAATTTCAAAGTTTAGAATTTTTATTTAAAATAAATGATTAAAAAAGGAAAACATTGTGAATAATTGGAGCAAGAAATAAAGTCTTTGGAAAAATATTAAAAAATTTAACCTGAAAATGCGAAGCTATTTGAACAAAAAAAGTATAAAGAAATTAAGAAGTTGAAAAATTGTTCAAGAAATAGCAAAATACTAATCAATAAAAGGTTAGAGGTTAGAAGATGTTTTTAATAATAATGTAATAAAATATTGAAAAATGAATTATACATTCTCTAATATTTTAAAAATAGCACTCCAGAAATTTTGTAATAAGATTATCATAAGTTAATTTTCTTATGATTAATTGTTTAAATATTAACTAAGCTGAAACTAAAAAACGAGTAGACTGCAATTCTACAAATATTCCATTCATAAAGAATTTTGAGAGGAAATTAGCTCAATTAAGAAATAAAGGAGTTACTAAAAACCCATTTAAAATAGAAGAACAAGACATGCAAACAAAATAAAATCTTGATAATTAATTGAAAAGGAGTTGAATTATTTAAAATATCCAAGACTTTTGAATATCAAAGGATATAGGTATTTAATTTAATTTAAACTTAAAATTGAAGGAATAGGTTTTATCTAATTTATTATTTACGTTTATTATTATGAAAATAAAAACAAAAAATGACTCCAAGCATATTCCAGAAAGAAATCGACAGATCAATTATATAAAAAAAAAAAAAGGATTAGTAAGATTAGATTGGAGTAAAATTAAATTATTTAAAGCAGCCATGATAAAAAGATAATAATGAAAATAATAGTAAAGGATAAATTCAAAATCTAAGAAGAGTGAATAAAGAACTACCCGCTGATTATTATATCTATTTGGCAAAGAAATATTTAAAAAATTCTAACAAATTAAAAAGCTGTTTCTTATGAAGAATTTTAATTTGACCTTAATTTTGAAATGGTGTAAAAAACTGGATTATCTTTTCTCTATTATTTTGATATATTTATTTAAAATACAGGCAAATGCTCCTATTTAAGAAAAGTTTAGACTTATTATTGGTATAGGTCATTTCATTATGATAATTGAACGACTATATAGTTCTATTTCAAAAATATATATACTTATCAATGCCTCCTTATGAGCTTTGTCTCAGAATTTAGGATGTGTTTATAACTTAGACGCTTCATTAAAGTGTAATGTTTAAATGAGAAGAAAATAGGTAGAATAACTATCTTTAGGGACAATATACTTTTTATAATCTGGCATAAGGCTACAAACTTTGATATTTGAAAATCCGATTTATAAATCTTAGTATTTAGTATATATTAACTTTATTCCCTTGATAGTATAAGAATAGCTTTATGTTTTGAATCCTAATATTATTTTTAT